GCCAGCCTGCTGAAATTTCAGCTCGCCAGTCTGGTGCCTTTGGCGATTTGCCTCTATGCGCGCGCCAAATTTGGCGGTAAGAACGACCTGACCTTCCTTAAAAAGCGCTGAAAAAACGCTGCAGCTGGTGTGACAGCACGGGCACACCCCTCCGGTGCCGCACGCCACAGGACAGTGTTGGAATCACCCCACCATTGGTAAAACTAGCAGGCTTGAATTAGTAACGACTTATTACAATCCGCAACAAGTGCCCCGGACAACGTTGCAAGGATAGGTCGTCAAAAATGGCTGCTCATGTATCGAAATGCCCTGTTTGCCACAGGCTTGAGCCATGATGGGCTCGCCGTCACGGGCCGCCAGCCCCGCGGTACATGCCGGGCGTGCCAGACAGGTGTACGTGGGAGACCAGACCCTCAGCCTTGACCATGGAGGCGTTCTGGTTGCGACGTGGCCCTATGGGGATTCCATGGCTTCAGGCATTCAGGCGCTGGACCAGCGGCTGGACATCACCGTCAGGCTGGCCGGCGGTACCCTGATCGCAGACCTGACACTACAGGACAACCTCACCCTTGAGGCGGCGCTCTGCGACGGCAGCCTGCCCCGCCACCTGATCCCTGAAATTGACAGCCTTTTTGCGAGTGCCGGTTGTCCGGTGGACTGGCCGACGTGGGCAAGCCTGTTTCCTGACACGGCACCGGCTGATGCAGTCATGCAGGCAAAAACCGGCAGGGCCCTGATGGCAGACCCTGACGTACTGGTTATTGATGCAGCGCAGTGGGATGACGCGCTGCTGGGAGCGCAGGCCTTCAGCCGGAGTTTTGCGCGGCAATACCCATGGCGAACGGTGGTCTGGGCAACGCATGACGTGACCCGCGCAGACAACCTGCGCGATGCATTGAAGGAGTTTCAGGCATGAGCACCCTGCCCTCATCTGCCATGACGCCTGAGCCCGACATGCAGGAGTTCGCGTTGCGCACCCGCAAGAGCCCCGGCCATGCCTGGCTGGCCCTGGCCATCGTCGCGGCTGTCTTTCTGGTGCTGACATCCGCCTGGCGCCAGGGCTGGTTCACGCCCACCTCACATGTGTACATCGAAGTCGCCGGTGCCAGCGGCATACAGGCGGGCACGCAGGTACGCCTGAAAGGTTTCAAGATCGGCGAGGTTGATGACATCAAGCTCGAAAAGAACCTGAGTGTGCGGGTACGGCTGCGCATCGAGACTGAAAAAATGGAGCTGCTGGGTGCCAACGCCAGCGCAAAATTTGGCCGCGACAGCCCGATTGCAGGCAAATTCATCGAACTGCTGCCCGGCGCACGTGAAGGCCAGCGGCTGGCCGGCGGGCAGACCCTGCCGGTGGATGCAGGCAATGAACTCGACGACGTGATGGCGACCGTCAAGGTGGCGGTCGACAAGCTGTCCATAGCACTTGGCAAGATCGACCCCATTCTTGATGACACGCGCAAGCTGACCAATGAGGCTGCATCGATGCGCCAGACACTGAGCAGTTCGATGACTGCAACGCTGGCCAACATTCAGGCCATGTCGGGGCAGTTCAGGCAGACCAGCGAAAGCGCGCGTGTGCTGGTCGGCAATATCGACAGCGACCGTGCCAAAGTCGTCGGCGAGGTGCAGGGTTTGCTGAAGACCCTGAACAACGATTTGCCGCAGGCGCTGGACAAAACCAAAGACACGCTCGAAAACGCAAAGTCCGCCAGTGCCGATGTCAAGCAGATCCTGCGCGAATCGCGCAACGACATACCTGCCATTGTTCGTTCGGGGCGCACGGCAGCGCAGGACGCGGCAGAGATCACAACCGGCCTGAAAGGCAGCTGGCCATTTTCAGGCGCGGCCAGCCCGGCCGAGCCTGCAACGCTTCCGCTGGACAGTTTTGAGGGGCGCAAATGAAGGACCGGATGTTGATGCGCTTCATGCTGGCTTCGCTGTTGATAACGCTGCTGGCAGCCTGCGGCTCCAAACCCCCAGCCAATAACGCTGCTGCAACGTTTGCGCAGGCCAGCATGCAGCGCGGCGCCAATGCCTTTGTACACGGTGACCTGAGTGGGGCGCGGCACGAGTACACACGGGCGCTGAACGTTTATGAATCACTTGACGATGTGAAGGGCCGGGCTGGCGCCTTGCTGAGCCTGTCGCGCATTGCCTCGCAATCAGGCAACAACACCGAGGCTCTGGCCACCGTCAACAAGGTGCTGGCTGAGCCCACATCACTGGACAGCACCACACTGGTCACGGCGCACGGACGCGCTGCGGCGATTTACCTGGCGCAGGGCAATACCGCGATGGCCGACGGGCAACTGGCCAGTGCATCAGCCCTGTGCAGCGCGGCCTGCGCTGAGGCTGGCGCACTGACCTTACTGCGTGCGCGCTCTGCCCTGGCCCAACAACAACCTGCCGCCGCACTGCAACTGGCAGGCCAGGCTCTGGCGATGCCGGGTCTGACTGCCAGCAACCCACCCACACTCAAGCCGCAAGCCAGTGCAGAACGTGCCAACGCGCTGCGCCTGCAGGCACAGGCGCAGCTTGCATTGCAGCAGCCAGCCGCCGCATTGGCACCTGCATCCGAATCTCTCCAGCTGGACCGCGCCCTCGGGCTGGCCGAGCGCGTGCTGCTTGACCTGCGACTGCTGTCACAGGCACACGCCGCAGCAGGTGCGGGCGACAGCGCCAGGCACTACCAGTTGCTGGCAGACCGGGCCGAGTCAGCGGGCAAGGCCCTGCGCGACAACGCGCAGGCGAACTGACAGCCCACAGGCACAGCATGGACCGGCTCAAGGCGCGTATCAGGCAGGTCAGGCTCTGGCTCATTGCGGGTGGGCCACGCGTGGGTATTGCCGGTTATGTGGGCGTGTTGCTGGTGGCTCTGCTGGTGCAGTCATGGGCAGGCTTTCAATACGCAGAATGGAAGCTGTACGACCAGAGCCTGAAACTGCTCAGGCATATCACCCACCAGCCGGTCGCCAACGATGTGGTCATCATCGCTGCCGATGAAGCGA